TTTTCAAAACAGTTGTTTTGTTCTCCACCTGCATGACGAAGCACTTGAATTACAAATAATGCAACAGTGCACCATGAGACGTTCTGATAAAAACTCAATATGAGGAATTACTGTTTGCTCACTCGAATCTCACTCAGAGAAGTGAGAGTCTGTAAAACTTAAGAGTAGACTCATTTGTAGGCTATAAATAAAATGCTATTCAACGGGAAGAAAAACTACAGGTCTTCCTGACTTGCTCATATGTCATGACTAACGTCGGCTTCATATATAGTCATGGGACGGGTCGAGTGAGCGCAAGGCAGCGAGCTGTGTAAAAAAAAGTGAGTCAGAATGACTCACAAATTTATATCACGGCTCAAACAATGGTTAGATTTATCCTAATGACTAGTCCAATTAAATACTACTTTATCTCCTGGCAGGGTGGCTCAGTGGTTAAAGTTCAGAGTACAAAGATGACAATTTGAAGCAGTAAGTTGCGAGTTCAAGCCCGCAACAAGCTGTGGATGTTCTGCAATGTTAAGAATCGGCGACAGGCCTACGGCCTAATAAATGCTGAAACCTCTGTATATTATGTAATGTGTGTGTGCAATCTTAACCACTGATATTTCCCATCGAAGTTTCCTCATTCGTATTAATTATGTTCCTCATTATCAATTTTCCTGTTCTTTAGTTCCACTAAAAGGTTTCGAATGTGTTTCCTCAGTAAGTCTTACTCTGAAACGCATAAATATACTTGTGGAAATAAATTTTTCCTGAAAATCGCCGATATAAATCAATATATTTTACATTTAAATAGATTTCTAGTTTTTTATTGATTTTTATATTGAGTTTTTTTTTATTAAAATTTATCGGTCTATAGATAAAAATTTGCGATGTGACACATCAGTTGTTTACAGCACAGATATCGATGATTTTCTTTGTTCGTCATGAAAGAATAAATTTTTCATTTAAAAATTCCCCGAAAGCTCCTCTCTGATCTCTTATCACTGTTTGATAAAAACAATTGATGCTGCACAAATTATGCAAGAACCAAGCACTACCTCTTCTAGTTTCTTTTGAAATCATCAAAGATATCAAATTAACCGTTCATCATATTCGAGTTTCATTTACCCACTGATAGATGAATTCTAGCCTGAAAAACATTGATAAGCTATCTTATCTGTTGAGGTGTCCGATACAAAGTAGTGACAAGTGCGAAGGAAAAGGCATTTAATGCTTGGGTTAATCATGTATGTTACCAGAACTGAACGAAGATGATATCGCACTCTCGTAAGTGTTCCGGCCAAATTAAAAAAAAATCCCAACCCGGCCTCTTGAAGAACGACCATTAAGAGCAGTGCTGGCTCGTCTATATAAGACCGAGCTGCAGCTCACTTCGACATTACTTTTAAGATTTTAAGTCGTGGTTTAAGATTTTGATTAAGCCTTAAAACTCGCGCCTGCTTACCAGTTCCAGTGTTAACTCTTGTTGTCCCATAGCTTCCATATTATTTTCTACTCTAGTAACTTTGATATTTTAATTGTTATGAATACTGCACAACCCGTGATAATTTATACTTTAATTTTGGGGTGCTTGCATTTTTCACCACTTCTGAAATTTTTGGCTCGCCCGCCAAACGTGAATGTTAGTTTCCCGAAATAAATTTTCAAATAACGTTTATTCTCTCTGCAATGATAAACTTCAATAAGTGCTATTTCAAATGTATCATTAATCTCTCCATTATCGTTTGGAAACCTAATTCGGTTGGCCAGTCACGCCAACTTCGACACCTTTTGCCTTAATTGCCAAAATGTTCAAGCCTTTATCTGTGGTGACATTTATATGTAACTTTACATGTCACCATGATATAGTGACATTTATATTTTTCCTTTGCCCTAGGCATACGTACACTCGTATACTTAGGAGAGCGCTTATTGATGCTGCTGAGGCGATAGAAACCAGATTTGGGTTTAATTTGCCATTAACAGGACATCGCACTCAGGCTTGAGCAATAAAATTCATTACCTTTTACCTGCGTGATTTACGTAACCTTGAATCATAAATCAAGTGACAATTGATTGAGAAAACCAAATATTACGTTTATGTGTAAAAATTTTTCGACTTTAGTACTTAATTCATTTTAATCGTCATTGAATCAAATGATCTTTCAAATTGCAGAACAGATGAGCGTTTAAAAAATCTCTGCTTGCCGATCACCTTTAATTGCAGCTTTCATGATGAACACAACTGCCGGTGCTGTCATTCTGGTAGGTATTGGCTTGTGTGTATACATATCATATAAATACTATTCACTACATGGCGATGGCAGTGTTTACCAAATCTACAATTTGTTTTTGTTTTTACGTTTGATTGCATAAAATCAACAAAGAGGATGTTATTTGTTGGCTTTAAATAAATATTTGCCACAGCAAATCAAGTTTATCGCATCTTTTCACATTTATTAACTTAATTACATTGGCGCAATGAATTTAAACTAATTAGAATAAATTCAATTCAGGATTAGATGTTTGTTAAATTTTCACCTGATATTACTTCCATCTTTAAACTAAAAGGAGTTATTGAAATTTCATTTTTTTCAGATGCTCCTCATCAGCGTGCCATGGTAAGAACTTGGAAAAACTGTTGCAAAGTTGAGGTCGAAAGTTACATTAGGGATTGTTAGGTCTAAAGAAAACACATATTTTTGTATTAGTAGTTCATGCTGTATAATTTGTGTTATTATTTATCAGTTCTATTCCTTCTTTGTGTCACTGAAATGTGTTGGCCGTTTGGCCGTACGATCACAGTATGAGTGTGGTCATTGACGGCTTAGTTTTGACATTTTTAGGGCATTTTCTCATTTATGGAAAAAAGGCGCTAATGTGCTCGTCATGTCCGTCCGTCCGTCTGTCTATCCTTGACTTCACATTTTTGTCGACGAGAAAATGCGCTCTCTGTCACTCACTGCAGTGAGTACTGAGTTATATTTTTTAATGATTAAGCCTGGCCGACAACAAAAATACATTACTTAATTACTATATGGGATCGTAATAACATCCCAAGCAGTCCGAGTCTATCCATATTTTCAGCTCATTTTATTGTATCAGCTCAATAGATGCCAATAAGTTACATTACCTACTTCAGGTGCAGGGCTGTGATGGGTCAGAATGGCACGTATTGTGTAGACGTGGAAAATGGCTTCTACTGCCAACACTGCTGGCAGGTCGTCTATTGCCTCGATTTTGAGGGAACTCCTACCAGCTGCGACGCAGGATACGTCAGTGCCCGAACGTTTTGTAGAGTATTTTTTATGATAATTTAGACAAATAATTAATTATTTTCAGTAATAATACAGCCATATTTCGTTTGATGATCTATCCTTGCATTTTTAAATTTCCATATATGAATACAATTCTGTCCCATAAAATTTAGCAGAAGTTGCGTCTGGTAAGGATAATTTTATCCAAATTGATACATTTTGTGCTGACCACCAAAAAATACACAGGTCAAATAATTTTCATTCACATTTTCAACGTCAAACTTGTGTGCAGGGACTTGAAAGCTGTTAACATCGATTTTCAGAAGAAGTTAATGGGGAAAAATAAAGAGCTAGTACATAAATACTGATATTCAATAATAAACATATAGAAAATAAAGTTACTTGATTACATTAACCTAAGATGAGGTTGAAAATAATACTTTCTAAGTATACTTTGAATATGTCACTTGTATTTTCAATTGCTACCACTTTTTCCTGCAGACATGCGAAGTGTTTCCAGAAGCTGGCGTGGCAGCGTGTGTGCCTAAAGATTCTGCACCGACGTGCGCGTGCACTACGACCCGCTGTGATCCTTACGATTCCAATTATGTGGACGTGTGCAACACAGGTGGAATCTACGATGTCACTGACTGTACGCCTGAGGGAACTTGCACTGACGGAAAATGTGTTGCCGAAACGACAACAACAACGGTCGGTCCTACCGGTCCTTCTTCCTGTGATGAAATCACAGATGATCCGGCCGGTTGGCATGCAATTACGCCCGCTTGCACAGACGGATTCTACTGCACGGAGGCAGGAGATCAGACCGCTACACAACATTGTGATGTAGGCCAATACGTGGATGAAAATGGGGACTGTCAATCGGCACCTCCGATACCCTGTGCCAGTGGATGTAAAGGCCTCTGTCCTGATGACACAAACTGCACTCAATACTATGTGTGTGATGGCGCGGGGGGAATCTCAGCAGGTCCTCTGCCGTGTCCCAATGGCAACTTCTTCGACCCAGATTATGTACCACCAAGTTGCGTGCAAGGAGACGATTCTGTGTGTGCTCCCTTAACCTTTTGTAGCTTCGACACCTCTTCAGGGGTAGGGACCACAACTACCACATCAAGCGGAGGGACTACAACTACCACATCAAGCGGAGGGACTACAACTACCACACCAAACGGAAGTACTACAACTACCACATCAAGCGGAGGATCGACTTCAACTACCACGTCGTCGACTCCATCGACTTGCTCTGCAGAAACCGCGGGAAACTATCCATACGGCTCCTGCAGTCAATTGTGCGTCTATCATTTAAATCTAGTTTAGTAAAATAGTTTATATTATTGAACCTTGTCTTATTCCTTTATTCCTTTGGCCTTCAATGGCATTTATGACTCATTCCTCGTCTTTTTTATGGCGTGATTATTCTTAATTTTATTTATCTTATTTTTTAATATTTTTCATTCTATTTTTACTTTTTTTTATTTTGATTCTATTAAACGCTCTCAGTTTCAAGATTCTGTAGTCAGCTCCACAATTTTCAAATGGGCACACTTTCACACTTGCAGACTCGTCTATTTTGTAGATTTTGTATAAAATCTCACCTCGGCATCCCTTTAACTTTTCACCGAACACTATCTAGGTATTGGGCTTGGATATCTATTATATTGATTATATTATACTTATATATTTTATAGGACTTCTATTTCGCCAGAGCATCCCTGTAACTTTTGATCGTACTCTGTGCAGGTACTGGGCCTGCCGCGACGTTGGCCAGGGTAACTACCAGTGGGTGCAGATGCAGTGTCCAGGCAACTACGTGTTCAGCACAGACCCCAACTACCCGTACTGCGTGACCCCAGCAAGCGAGGCGACATGTTCAGCCATCAGGTCTAACCATTAGGAGACGCTACATCGTATTAATACGGAACAACAAGTCAACAATGATACAAATTTTAGCATAATTATGCGAAACGTGAACGCCTGGATTGACTGTAACGGAGGCCTCAAGACGGGAATGATATATAATACTAGTAGCAACGCACGTAAAAAAAATAAACAAAATATTGATGTTCACAAAATGTGATTATTAATGCGCATCCATATTGAGTGAATTACTGTTTTTCTGAAGAGTACTCCGAGTATTTTTTATTTTCTGAAAGCAAGTAAAGCGTCAATTATTACTGTAAGTTCCTCTCTTCATTATTGCATACATTCGTGTATTATATTTTAATGCGTGCTTCATGCTGTGCCATCTTGGCCTTAAAATATGATGAAAATGTTATATCATGGTAACAATTTACTGCATTATTTTAATTATAAAGGTGCGTAGATTAATTTTCCTGGCTTTTACTCCACCTTATCAGAAATGATGTAGAAGTTATTTCTTCAACGTAATTGAATATTTATTCAGTTCAGCCTCTCAAACCGAGCCTTGATACGCCCCTTATCTCGCTTATGTCTCGGCGATGAACAAAACAGTTCCATTTATTGGAGTGGCTTCGCTGTCACTTGCCGTAGCAATTAAGTGGGATGATGCAACCTCTTCTCGTTGAACCATTCTTATCTGGATAACATGATGGTCACGGAATGACGCTCGAATTAAATTTTCCTGTATTTTTGTCAAAGATTTAATTAGCTGCTTTACAATTCAATCATTTAATGAATTCATTCAAGATATGTACGATACGAGTATAAAAGAAATGAGGAAATTACGCTCAAGCAAGAAAATCATTTGGCCAATTGAAGAAATATACAAAAATCTCATGTTACGAGCGTAGAATATTAGTAAGGAAATGCCCTCGTAATCCATCTCAGTTCTGGCTTTTTAACATTGATGATGAAAGGGAACGCACCCTGGGACTGATGACAGGGAAAGAACCTTGGGACCGATGGAAAGGAACGAACCTTGGGACCGATGGAAAGGAACGAACCTTGGGACTGATGGAAAGGAACGAACCTTGGGACCGATGGAAAGGAACGAACCTTGGGGCTGATGGAAACGAACGAACCTTGGGACTGATGGCAGGGAACGCACCTTGACACTGAAGCAGGAAGTACACCCTGCTACTGAAGGCAAAAAGCGCACTCTGGAACTAGTTGAATGGCCGGGTGCCCTTCTGGACTAGTGCAATGGGCGTACAATGGTAGTGATGGAAGGCGGTGCGCTTTAGACTGATGAAGTTAAACACTCTCGAATAGCACACTCTGGAACTGATCAAAGGATGTGGCGCACTCTGGGATGGATGGATAGACCGACAAGGAGATGGCACGCTGGGACTGTTGGAAGTACAGACGCTCTGGGACTTATCTAATAATCTAACCCGGAAAATGCGTAGCAACGAATACAATTTATTAAATTACCAATTGTTCGCAAGCCGGTAATTACTCTTCATCTGTTCGGAACGATGAAACGCAGTTTTCAGAAGGTCAAGCAAGCTTTAATTTCATAAATTTTGCGACACTTATTCGTAAAATAATTATAACGCTTTACGATCAAATCACATGAAATGAAATTACTGTCATTCCAGTAAAGCTGAGTTAGCTAATGCGGTGAATATATAAAGAAAAACATTAACATAAGTTAAGAGGAATGTTATCGCTAATAGAAGGAAAGAATATTCCATCCTCAGCTCATGCCTCCCCGGACACCCACAGCTCTGCATAATGCCCCGTTCTCATTTCAACCGGCTTGGCTTTTCCGGGACTTCCAGCTCTTTAACCGGCTATGTGAGAACGGGGCATAATGCCCCGTTCTCACATAGCCGGTTAAAGGGCCGGAAGTCCCGGAAAAGCCAAGCCGGTTGAAATGCCGGATTCATAGCCGGTATATGGGGCAGGGCGTAATATGCAATAGGCAGGGCTTAATATGTAATGCCCTCCAGGTAGCTGTCCCGTAAGAGCCGGTAGGTTTCCCGGAAGAGCCGGATATCCGGGAGATCCAGCAGGGGGATATCCGGGAGTAGTAGCCGGGGCAGGGTCGCCTGCCGAAGACCACCACTGCCCTGGATGTAATGGACCATCATGCTTCCTGCCTTCCGGAACGTAGCCTTCAACACTTCAAGCCGTCCGTAACTAGGCCGTGGGTCGAACCAGCCCTCGGTCGAACGGCAACTTTTCGAAGGACGATAAATTTTGGAACAGAACTATGCTATCTGAAACCTAACCTCAGATGCGGTGAACGTAAAATTACGTAATTTAACGATGCCCAGAAGTCAGATTCGATCCGCGGCCTGGTGATGCACGGCAGGTGGTGGTCAAGGCCGGAGGAGGACAAAGCCGAGTGGTGCACGGCTGATTGGTGGATATCCGGAGAGATCCAAGGCGTTCGATTCAGGGATTATTGGTGCACAAAATTGATGGTGCACGGCTGCGTTGCCGCCGGGGCATAATTAGCCGCAGGGATTCTGGGTGATTTGACACTGCCGGACTCTTCTTGTCCTGTCCACCATTATTTCTTTCTTAATTAGAAAAGTTAATTGGTTATTTTTTTTAATTGAAAGTTAGGTTTAAATGCCACAACTTTTGCGCTTACTCTTCGAAAAATATCCATTCGATATTTACAAATTGGCGCAGAACTGTTTATATCCTGTTTAAATTTGTTCAAGCGTTTATGATGTCTAATTATTTGAATAACACTGCCGTGATCTCAGTGTTCATTAACGAACTTATTACCCCTGTTCACTATTGAACACGACATGCGTGCGGTTATGTTGCGGGAAGATTCAGTGGTCATAAATAAATAAACGAAATTATTTTTATGAAATATTGTAATAAATACTTCGGTTTTGCATCGGCACTCGGAACTGTTGAAGAATAAAGGCGTGATCACAAAGTTTCAACTTCAGAATACTTTTGTACGCCAATTTTGTCAAGGGATTAGTTACACAATAAATTTCTCCCGCTATTGAGATGCAGATTAGTCTCACTAGGCACCGAATCCAAATGGTTAAAAAAAATTAAATAATCTCAGTACTGAAGTGTGGCCTGCTAATAGATGTAAGGTTATATTATTACTTTTATATTTAAAAAGGGCCCAAAATTTTGTGATTTCTCTTCAGAGAATTCTTTTAACCAATATAATAATAAATGTACAGCTGTGAAATGAGCCACGACATAAAACGAAAATGCCCAGTGCACTTCAACTTTACACAAATATTGCAATTGTTGGTTAGTTCGCTTTTTGTTTTCTTTACGTCAAAGACCGCTTCTCGTCCGTTACGAGATGAGAAAGAAAACCGTCTCAGAAAATCAAGGCTACAGAGATGAAGATGATCATAAGTTCTATTAGTATCGCGGGAAGAAAATATTTCAATCAATTCCTATTTTATTGATGGAATCAGTCGTACTGAAAACCCACCAGATCATCTGGGAGTTCAGACGGGTAACTTCATTTCCGATTTTAAATACATATTTTCTCACATTGTTACCCACACAGATATTCAGGGGATCAATTCGAGGCAGATATTATTGAAAATCGAGATGAACCGTCACGAATACGCAGCAAATATCTGTGCTTGGATGTCTAATAATAATATTTATTGATGAAGTTTTTTTATAAAGATAGAAATACAATGACATAACCAAACTTGACAAACAAACAAAAAATTGGAACCATCGCCCAGAAATACTTTTTAAATAAGCAAATAAATTGCAAAGAAGAAGAAATTGAAGCAAAGGAATTGCAACCCTTCAACTCTCATAGAGAAACGATGAAGTTTATCGCCGTCCCAGAACTCACGTTAGTTTCCTTTCCTGGAAAAAGATCAATATAATTCGAAGCAAATCAAAGAGATTACATCCATACAATGGTAAATAAAATAAAAATTCTGGGTAAATTTTATTTCCAGCACGTGCACGCATGTTGTGAATGATATCTGATTAGCCCAGGTCGACTCAGTATCTCAGACGTGTTTCTTCTTGGGCACCTTCCTCTTGCGCGCTTGGTTGCCCAGAAGCTTACCACGAATTTTCTTCATAGCTTTACCGCGGTCCCGGTCACTCTGGTAGCGCTTCTGCAGTTTACGTTCCTTGGCGATCTGTTGTTCGTTGCGGACCTCCTCCTTGATAGGCATGCCTGTCTCTAGCCCCTTCTTATGTTGAGCTTGAAGCAGCGGGTGGATCTTGCTCTCCGACTTCGTTGAGATGACTGCACACATACATAGCTTAATATAAGGCAGTAGAGACGGTCAAAGAGATTAACTTTGTAATAGAAGAAAATAGACGACGAGATTAACACATGGATGAAACTCTCAATAAATATAGAAAAATAAGGCAATGAAAAATAACATCATATCATTTAATATAGCATTTCACTACACTCGGCCAGACACAGCGACCTCAAGTCTTTAGGTTTCTTGGTGAACTCACCCTTGAAAAGTTCTCGTTTGCCGTCAGGTTTCTTGTCCAAATCGAAGTCTGCACCTCCTGCTGCCTGCAGTTGATCTTCATCCAAACGGTTGCGTTTCAACCACATGCTGTAGCGGTCGGTCTTGTACGAGCTTCTGATCGTTCTGTAGAAGAAAAGTATTCAGTGAAATAACCACTATTTATGGTCGATAGCGAATAGGTTGAGACAGATTCTTCTCGCTTACACAGCTGTCCATAGAGCGTCCATTATTTTAATTCTTAACTGAAAATTCATCCAATTACCAACCGCGTCTATATGCACAATCCACAATAGGAGATGTAGCTCGACCAACAACTGCATTAATTAAAACTTCCTGCATCAATTCTTTGTAGCTAAAAAATTTTCAAACGTTCATCTCTCATGGAGAAACGAAAAAGTTTATCGCCGTCTCAGAACTCACGTTCCACACTCGGTGCGGATCTTTTTTTCTGTGGCCTTGGGTCCAACAAATTTATTCTTCTTGACGTCCCACCGCTTGACGGTCTTCAGCCTGGCCATGCCCAGGTAATTGTCCTCCATGGTGTCCATCTCAGCATTCAGGCTCTCCGACGCAAAACTTGTAGATTCATTCACTCGGTACCTGCAAATGAGATTTTTTAATAACCACGAATTTATCTCTGGAGACCATTTGTTCGTTCCTAGTAAAAATATTAAATAGTAAAAATATTCTTGTTGGTTGATTTACTCGGTGCCGTAGCAAACAACACACTTGACACACATAATCTAATATTCAACCAAATATTATTCAATTCAATATTATTCCCTTTCGAATTACACGAGCAACGAGAAATAAATTTGTTATCCCGTAATCGATCATAATTTATCTCTTATTTGCAGTCAAAGAACTTTTTTCAGCTTATGTCAAGATGTGCACGGATATTAACCCAACACTACCAAATCACTGTCAAATACAGACTGCGATCTCACCCTTTATCTTCATGAGCATCAGAAGGCGCGTAGGGAATGAAGAAATTTCCAGTGCCAGCTGCTTCCTGCTTCTTGCCGATGCTGTTGCCAGCCGCGGCTTTCTCTTTCCTCCTCTGCCTTTTGCTAATCTTCTTACCGCGAAGCTCGTCCCGTTCTTCTTTTTCCCTTCGTTCTGCATCGAACTTTTCAACGACGATCTGCATGGCATCTTGAGTGTTCAGAGTTTGGGGGAACTCGTACTGGATGTCATCGTCAGCGACCATCGGCAAGTCAACGGGCTTGTTCTTGAACTGCAAAATGATTCAGCATATTAATTTTCAAACAATAACAAGTATAATTATGTCTAGATTCTTTAGAATTATATCGTAAGTAATTTATTAGGTTTGAAGAAAGAACACTACACATATTGCAATGGATACTCAATGAAAATAAATGGAACAAAATTAGCAACCATGTTCCTTCTTTTGCAGCCGCGCTTCGCACTGCGCAACAGGGTCGTTACATTTTTTGTTAAAAAATATGATTATCGTAACTAACACACCACTGCATGTTTGTGGACCACCATACATCTTTTTCGCGCGCAATGATTTAATGGACAGATTTGTACCTCACATCCATCATTGGTTTACTACGGGATAGTTTGCCCGCTTACTGATTTAATAATTAGATTTGTCCCTCACCTCTTGCATCGCATCGTAATTTGCCCGCTTACTGATTTAATAATAAGATTTGTATTTTGTACCTCATCTTTTTCATTGCATCTTATTTTGCCAGCTTATTTATATACTAATAAGATTTGTCCCTCACCTCTTGCATCGCATCGTATTTTGCGCGCTTTTCATCAAGCTTGGCCTGGTATTTCTCGATGTACTCGTCGTCACGCTCACGTTTCTTCTTCATTACTTTGGCCCTGTCACGCATGCCCGTGACTCCAATTTCGAAAATGGTCTGAAATAACAAAATATACAATAAACACTCATGTTCTCAGTATAACATTGAAATGCCATCCTTTGTACTTATATTTATTTGAGTTTAGCAACGATTTTTTAAAATATATTTACAAAATCAGCATTCTTGACTCACTTTTTTAGGCTTGACGTTCTTGAGCTCTTCCATCAACTTTTTACGTTGCTGCAGTAGATTTTCATCCAAGTTGCAAGTAGTAAAGTAGAAATTTTTCTGGAAACTCTTAACAAGTAAAGGATGGTCACCCATAGAAATAATTTGCCTGGAAAGCTTCATCTCTTTAAGCGCTTCACGAGTAGGTTTAGGACAGTTCCTCCTGTACATTTGGTAGGCGTTGTCACTCTTCCGCTTGAGGTACATCAACTCAGTATCTTCCTCCAACTTGGCCACCATATCACATTCTTCACTGATTATTTCTTGCGGGACCTTGCCAAAATGGAAATTCCATTCGACTGAAGGTTTGGTTTTCTCATCATTTTTTTCGGGTGCACAGCTAGTATTTTGGACCAAATTTTGAGGATTCATGTCTAAAGGTACTGGATTTTTTGCGCCAGTTTCAATTTTTGGACTGAAGAGAACCGAACGTCCCAAAAACCTGCTCAAGTCCCACAAAAAAGGCTCCTCTTCAACGGCTACAAAACTCAAAGCCACGCCGCTTTTGCCGGCTCTTGCAGCCCTACCAACGCGATGGATAAAAGTTTTAGCATTTGGGGGAAAATCGTAATTGATAACATAATCAAGGCTTGGAATATCAATACCGCGACCAGCAATATCTGTGGCTATCAATATATTAACCGTTTTTGTTTGGAATTTAGCAGCATTAATTTTACGAGATGTGGGGTCCATGTCTGAGAAGAGATATGCACTGGGAAAATTGCACTTCTCCAAAGCTTGCTCCAAAAACTGCACTTGAAACTGTGTGGCTGCAAATATGATGACTTGCTCGTTGAATTTGATGACATGTTGCAGGATAAAGAGCAACAAGTGCAGCTTAGAGTTGTTCTGGACGCTGAAATACGCGACTTGCAGAGCTTCGGATAGTTTGTCATCTTTGTCCAGTCTGAAATGAATGAGATACACAAATTCCTGATCATTATCGATGTTGTGAATTAAATTAAATGACTACAACTAGCGAGCATTTATTCAAAACAAAAAATACACTCAACATTAAAATACAGTCGTTTTCCTAATCCATATCGCAGTATGAGAAAATCTCAGAGATTCTGCATATTTTGCCTTTGAAAATCCATACGCAATACCTACCATTCGTTGGCTGCAGGAGAACTTAGTAGCCAAATTATCAGGATTTAAGCAGAAAACAAAGCGCATTGAGTAACTAACTCATACCTGATCATGGCCGGATTGTTGAGACCAGCCTTAGCGAATTCGGCCAGCATTTTGGGGAGCGTGGCAGAGAACAGAAGAGTCTGGCGGTTGACCGCGAGGCGTGCTAAGATTTCTTCAAGCTGCTCTCTGAAGCCCATCTCGAAAAGACGGTCAGCCTCGTCAAACACGACGTACTGCACGTTATCCAAGCGTAGCTCCATCTCCACACACACATGCATCAGACTGAAAATGAATTACTGAGTGAATCTGCCCCTCAAAATTAAACTTGTCGAGTCAACATACTTCGGGATAAGAAGTGTGAAGCTCTCAATCCAATCTAAATGCACACGAGTTTAAATTAACAGACAACTACATTATTCTTATTATTAAAAACATAATTGAATGAATTCTTGCCATTACATTCTCAAAAAAAACTGACTTAGGGAGCAGGAGCAATGCAGCCAAGTAATTGCCTATCATTTGTATTAAAATAATAAATATTTCAATTGTAAACCGAACTCAAAATGTTTAATTCCTGTTCAATTTGTCCATATTTCAATGCGAGTTAAAATAAGAAATGTGACACTCATACTGAGTAGTAATAAAAAACTTCATTGTTTCACACAAAACCTAAATATAAATACAGCATCAGAAAATAAATACAGTTACACTCTCAATGAAAGTCACTACAGAGATATTGTGATGATGTAACTCTTACCGTCCAGGAGTAGCGATGATTATGTCAGGCTGCTGGTGCAAGGCATTAAACTGCTGGTCCATGCTCTCTCCACCCACCACCAGCACGCAGTGCAAGCCCGTGAATTTACCAAGATTTACGGCAAATTTCAGGGTCTAAACAAAAGATTCAGAAGAGGAAGAATTTACTGTTTTAGTTAACCATAATTCTTGTTTCATTTTATTTAAACACAACATCTTCTAGTACTAAAATGCAAACTAGATCACAATGTAGAATAGAAATATTTATCAACATGATAATTAAGCAGGGTTGGCAATGATTAAATCAAAATGATTAAATCTAAAAATATAAAAAATACAATATAAAATAAATAAAAATATAAAAATACAAAAATATAAAAAAATCACGATTTTTTTTATATTTTTGATTTATTTGATTTTTTTGATTTTTTCATATATTTAAATATATTGAGTGGCAGTCTTTAATTTATATTGAGGTATTGTTATTCATGGTTTAGTATAAATGTACTATGAATGACAAATTGGTATATAAACTTGTTGCCTTTAGTGTGTATTAGGTTCCTTTTCAAACAGTGTTAGCTTTTCTCATAACATTAGTCTCGTTTCAAGACGTATGAGGTTTGTTTGGTTATCGTTCAGTTTATGTTTAGTATTGGTTTATTGGTCTGAATTAAATGGGAACACTGCAGTCAGTCACTCAGTCACTACTAGTCAGTGTGTATAGACTATAGAGGGTAGAGTTTGGTAGATTTATAGGACATAAAACTAGTAGATCTATTGATAGTGCTGTGCACTGTCCTATCAGCTTCCTATCTGTTATGTGACTCTTCAATGTTTAGAAGATCTGCATTCCTGAAGTTTTTTTGTATATTGGAGCCAGTTAAATGGTCAATATTTAGCTCATTACCTTGCTCCATACAAAACGTTACAAAGCTAATGAATAGACTTATCAATAATTGTTTACCCAAAAATCCCTAAGTGGTAAACACCACCTTGGCCTGTTGGCCATTATTGAAGGCAATAAGTGCCCTTTTTAGCCATCAATTATGATCCATATACTGTTATTGTTAGTAGGCTAATTGCAACATAAAAAAAAAACACTTCAAAAAAGACAAAAAAGTTGAAAAAATCAAAAAAATCAAATAAATCAAAAAAATCATGAAAAAATCAAAAAAATCATTGATTTTTGATTTTTTTTATTTTTTTTTAAATCAAAAAAATCACCAACCCTGTAATTAAGTAGAATTTCTCCATCATCATACATTTTTTAAAACTATTCATCACCAGCAAGTGGCCCAAGTTTTTTTTTCTAAAGCAGCCTGCTACTGCAGTATGCACTAGCATTCCACTCCAGAAATAAATACCTAAAAGAGAAAAGTAAACAGCAAAAGAACCAGACAACGCAACGCACATATAAACAGGTCTCTGCACAGTCTTACCGTTAGTTTTGATGAGGTCTACCTGGCAAAAATTCCTAATTGGAAAGCAAAAACGCATTGGGCAGTTACAAAGAAAAAAAGACCTCTGAAAGGTAAAATTTGTAGCTAAATCTATGAATCATATATATATATTCAATAGAGGGGTCAGGAATTCATGGCACCATCATAACATAATATATATGAAACCAATAATCTTGTTGGTGGTTACACTAAATTCATGACTTCAATGCAGCAAGTTAAAAGGCAGAATCAGACCCAGTAGTATGTGGACACATAAGCATTAAGAAATGACTGTAGAATCAATGAAAATTATCAATAGGTTGAAATATTTACCAGGCAACTTATAAATATTGATTGATATCAGGAATTGTTGGCAATATCAATGGACTCACTTGAACAGCAAGCTCCCTCGTAGGCACCAGGATGAGAGCTCGAGCACCTGAACGAGCCGAATGAGCCTTCAGAGCCTCGAACATGGGCAGCAAGAAGCACGCTGTTTTTCCCGACCCAGTTCGTGCCATGGCAAAGACATCTTGACCACCCAGTATGGCTGGAATGGCCTGAAGTTATACATAAGCCAATTAAAATACAAGAATAGTGTAGCATCATACAAACTGAAATTGAAATAAGTTTTAAAATGCAAAAACATTGATATACATGGATATATATACAAAGCAATCCATTTTATATGATTACAAAAATCTAATTAGTTAAGAGTGAGTTTAATTAGAACCTCACTATAGGGCTGGCAGGACACAACTGACTCCCTGACTAATAGCAACTCACACCTGACCTTGCACTATATAGCTGCTACTGCAGTAAGTTTGGACTCTACTGTTGCTGAGGCAGCCATTTTAGATGCAGCAGTACAATTATACTATAGACTCTTGGTATAACTAATAAAATGTATATGAAAAAATGGCCGATTTTATGATGAATGATCACCATTATTCAAGATGCTACCTCAACATTAGTAACACAAATATTGTACAACTTGACATATTACTTGCATGATCATCCAACTCCCTAAAGATAAAAAACTCCAGCATTTGCCATTTGGGCGTCCTCCTCAAATATTCACAGCAATAATTTGAATGAATACCTTTGTCTTGTCAACCAATATGATAGCAAATACATAGAATTAAGCAAAACAACCTCAATATATAATTCTGAACAATTAGGAAAAATGGCCAGATTTTGATGTCAGGTGAAAAAACTTACAGCTCGTTGAATAGGAGTGGGACAACGGTAACCAGTTTTTCTGATGCCATCACATACAGCTTGTGAGAAACCCAAGGCCTGTAAATAGATAAATTTGGTTAATAGGTTAAAATACACTACAAGATTTATTAGGGTATATGCATAATTTAAAATAACTTAAAGCATATCAATATCACTTTGATTTCTTTGAATTCCTTCACCCATATGCCTACTTAGTTCAACAGCATAACTAAAATGATGTTCAATCCATCCAAGCCTTTCATTGAGGGACATGCATAGATAAACTAAGAACATAAATTTCTGTACCTATGCTAGAAAATAAGACCAATTCTTAAATAAATTTACTTCCGACATTCTACAAACTTTTTTGCAATTCATGCATTAAAGGCACATAGTGAAGAAGTTATTGTACCTATATGGTTATGACAGAGAACATTTTTCTTATACTCAAACCATTTATTTTATCAATACATTTATATACAAGCTAAATGTATTTCTCAGTCTATTTAATGACTTACATTATCAATTGGTTACATGGCAAAGCAGACAAAAGTGTATGGATATTACACACACATGACTAGGCTTTTAGTAGGTAATGACTAATACGGTATTTTTAAAACTGTTTTCATGGACTTATGTGTGTATTTATGCCAAAAATAATGTCAAACCTGAAGTTATAGTCTCAATATACATACTAAATATATTTATAATAAAAATTGTTTTTTTTTTCAAGACTAATGTGGGTTCCTTTTACAACACTTCTCTTTAACTTCACTTCATGTCTGTTTGTTTGTCTGTTTGTCTGTCTGCTACAAATCTTGTAATCAAAATTTAATACACTTCTACTTATCCTATCGATCTGAAATTTTGCACACTTGTGTAAAACTGGAGACAATGCATGAATCAAATGTCAAAATAAACGATTTTAAAAAGAAAAAAATTTTCAATATTAAAAAATTTTAAAAATAATTTTGTCAGCTACAAATCTTATAACTGATATTTGACACACTTTTACCTGTCTAATTGATCTGAAATTTTGCACACTTGTGTGAAATCAGAGGCAATGCATGAATCAATTAATAGAATAAATAATTTTAAAAAATTATATATTAGAAAAATTTATATAATTAAAAAAATTGAAACATTAATTTTTTTTAATATTCAAAAATTAAATGAGAAATTCATTGTACATCTGTAAGATTGGAGATACTGGATTCTTTGGAAGTGTTGTCTTTAGAAAATAATTTTAAAATGTATATTATTATACTTTACTTTGAAAAATTGAAATTTATGTTAAAGTTATAGTTTGGGTTTGGCTAACATAAAAATTACAAAAATTCTCTGTGAAGTATATTTCTCTAGCAATGATGTGACACAAAGGGCAGAAAAAAGCATCCAAGAATTTATTATACCAACATAAGTAGAAAAAATGCAAAATGTACTCAGATGTGAAGGAAATACCTAGGACTAGCCAAGGTCACTTTTTTCATTTCATTGCATTATAATAGGTCTGGAATAACTATAGAACAAGTTGGGGGGCCTAGTAATTTATATATACTTTTTTAACGGGTGTCTTACGTTACCCTTTATTGCTGCACATTTTTTATAGAGACTGGGACTATATAGACTTAGGGATTTTGCAGTTCTTATAACCTCTCTGATTTCCTTTGCATCTTTGTTCTTGCATTTCTTTTACTTTTGTTTGCTTTACCCAATATTTTAAAATATATATAGAAACTTATTTTCAACACTTTTGTTTTGATCTGCAAGATTACAAATAGAATAATTTTTTCACACCTATTAATAAATAAAACTGCATGATCAATTAGGAAGATTTTAAATTTATCACATACATAAATTTGCAGCTACAAAATTTTAATATAAAATTAAATTTTTTAGTCTTGGCAACTTGAAGCTCTAACAATACACTTGCAACATGAAAGTAGATATGTTAGAGTTTAGATAATTAATATAAGATTTTACCTGAAAAGCTGATTGCTTATGCTTCTTGGGGCCCACATTTTTAACTCTGTGTTTGTCAGCTCCTTCAAGAAAAGCTTCACTAGTACCAATGCCCAGTTCTTCTTCTTCTGGATCTTGTGATGATTTTATGGAAATAGGGGCACCCCAACTATCTAACTGCATTTTTAAGTAGTTTTAAGCAAACTTAGCAAGACTTTCCCTACAAATTTTCTTTAATATAATTCTGAAAAAAAAAAAATAATAAATTATGAGAGATATGATACTATGCAAATACAGTTCAGATCTGGAATATTAGACAGAATTTTCAGCAAATTGTGGTTAAAAACTATTGTTTCATACACAATTTTTTAGAATCTTCCTTATCTATCAAAACATTTTATATATTATAATCTAAACATTTTCCTTATTTTTTAAGAAGGAATTTGGCAATGACAATAAAAATACCATAGGCAAAATCTACCACCAACACTGACAATTCCATCTTGTTTCTGGGTGCCAGGTCAGGTGGATTCTGCCAAATTTTTCAAAATGGTTAGTTTTGGTATTGACCTGCCCTGGAAGCAAGACCTAATGTTAATTCTATACTTTATAGATTTACACAATCTTACAGCAATAGCTTTCAGTTTCAATAGAAACTATTTTTTCTATGAAGAATGCTAATCCACAACTTTCTAAGTTCTGGACATCATAGTGTTAACCCATTAATGACGAGAATTATTTTCTGAATTTTTTTTCGGTTCCTTGTGAGAATATTATCATTTGTGATGGTAACAAGCAAAAAATATGTTCGTATATTTATTTTTCGTTGTATGTGAAAAATTATAGCTTGGTTCCATATGGAACCGCTCGGCATTAACATAACGTTTCTTCAAACAACACTTTTTCCGATAGTAAATCAAGCAAGGTTATTCATAATCGATAATACGTAATAGTATACGTATTCATAATGGACAATACTGATGATAAACCAATCATGGCAGAATACAATTCAATTTTTAGCATAGAATGCTTCCATTCATTCAAAATGTATAGGAAGGTTGCCCATTTCACGAATGTTTGTGGGTGCGTTGTCTACATTGTTTACGAAGCACTGCATTTGCAGTGCTTCTGATTTTGCTGGCCGATGTTGTTGATTGTTGTATTGCACTTCATCAAGGATCGAAGTAGAAGGGTGCACTATAGACCCTGATTGTTTTACTTAGGGTCTCCTGCATTATTGCATTTCCTATCCGATATTTTTGAAAATTTATTGCAATAGCCATTCTTTTTTTTTTCAAAAGTTTTTTGAGAAGCCAAATGAAACCAGAATATATATCACTTATAATATGTTAGCTTGGGACCAATTATATCGTGTTTATGGGACCAATCCATGTTCCAGCCCATGAATAAGTTTCTTTTTCTATTAGATCCGCCGACTGGCTTCAATAGCAGAAAAATATCATCCTATTTATCTGCTGCCCAAAGTTTATAACTAAATCTCACGGACTAGCCACGTATATGTCGTAGTATAATGTGGCCATGTCGACCACAGATGACTTTCTTCTCTGTTGATCATTGAGTCATTGTTTTCACATTTGGCGATTACTGTTGCTACAATGATTATTCTCGATAGGCGAGCATAATTGCTAGTGGCTGCGTCATCTGAGTTATCTGAATCTCAGTATGTTTCCTTTGTTGCTGCTTCTGTGAAAGGTTCAGTCGCAAATATTTGATCTTCGTGTTATTCTTCTCTCGAAATCTTAATTATTTCATGTGATGATCTGCCAAAAATACAACTAGAAAAAAGTGACTCGGATGAAAAATCGTATAGTGTTCTACGTACGTACCTAATTCCAAATATATAAACTTTCGGGATATATACTCCTAACAGCTCTAAAGATAATAGTTCACTAATAAATAACGGAAAAACTAGATCTAAGATCTAAACAAATAATTTCTAAATACAAACAAGTTTTTTAAATACAATGCGTAACTATATCACAAAGTAATCTACTGGGAAAATGATATGACCGGAATGCTTACACTACTGCCGAGCGGTTCCATTTGGAACCAGGCAAAATATTTCATGGTCTAAATGACTTTAGAAACATTAAATCACGTAATACCATATACAGCATTAAAAGTACTCTCTTTGTCGATAAAATTCTGCATCTAACTTATAAATAATATATTTTTTGAACGAACTACTTACGTTTTTCTGCAATGATGTCAAGCCCTCCTGTCTGACACCCGGTACTTACAATCTTTTAATGTTAACTGAGCAGGGAGTAGTCGGTGCAGCTGAACCAAACGTTGCCAGAACACGTCCAAGATGTGTATAAAACCTACGCATCCACTAGTATATTGATTTGACCATACAATTTTATTATGAATCAATTTCTTTCCGCTGGTTCCAAATGGAACCGCTCGGCATTAATGGGTTAAACCGCAGGATTTTTTTTTAGAATCAATTCATTTTTGAATTTATCATAAACTCAAGGTTTTAACTAATATCTTATATATGATAATTTTTGTATCTATTGTAAACTTGATGAATAATCTAAAAAAAAAGTCTCTGATTGGACACAATGCTGACCAGAGGCCAGTGTGAAATTCTGGATATTTAATATATTCTCACATTTATATAAGAAAATGGATCAGAAGATGTACCACATTACATTTCCCACCGCAATGCTAAGTAATACACAGAGCACATGAGAGGCTACTGCTCTTCTGATTTACCCAACTGCATGTCAATCTCCAGGAGGCCATTCTTGATTATCTTCACTTCACTGGAGATAAACTAGTTGTTCATCTTCAACTGAACAATTTTGACATGAATATCTTCTAAAATAAAAAAAATTAAGTCAACAATTGCAGAAAAGTCTCACAATTTTAATAATACTAACAATTTTTTAATATCACACGAAATAATTATATAATCTCTGATTCTTTTATGGCAAAATTGATTTATATTCTCTGATTCATTAACAGTGGACAACTGGAGATATCCCACTCACTGTTTATGTTTGGGCATCATCAAATTAACTTTCACAATAAATAGATTTGATCCACACTGAGATTTAAATGATGGAATGTTTTTTTTTTTTAATTTAAACACTTCTTCATACGTGTCTACACAACCAGATATGAATCTTTTCAGGTTCTTGCACGATTTTTCTAATTTTGTCTTACAGACTCAACTTCAGATCTTGAATGATTTTGTCTCCCTTTGTAAGTTTTTGAATGCTTCATGTCTTTTTTGTGAGTTTTTGAATTCCTCAATTAATTTTTGTTGTTTAAAAGCAAGAATTACTGATTTTAATAAATCATAGGCAAAATTTTGAGAACTTGGGCATGCACCTTTAATTAAAATTATTTGTTATTAGAATTTAGGTGAAGTTAGAATTTATGAGCTGTGAGGCTTTTGAAATTTCAATCCAAAAACTTGCATAGAAGTATTTATGCATCTTAATTAATACATAAATAATATCAATAATTTTCATATATAAGATGCATTTTGTTTGCAGTCCAAAAAAGGCCTATAACTCAGTACATACTAGAATAAACATGTATGTAGGTTCCAGTATAACAATTCCACTTATTTTTTAAATTTAATTAGGAAGTACCCCTATCATAAATCTCAGCCAGCCACTGTTAAATTTCAGCCAGCCACAGGCTGACAGGCCACTGCAAGTGAAATAGCTAAATTGCGGAATTTGTCCGGAAAAAAGACCGTCTTTCAAACCTGTTTCATAATAGTACAAAAAATGAAATAATAGTACAAGATGAATCAATCGGAGTCAACGTGTTAAGTGAAGACAAATGCTAGTTACTGTTTATTGTATGGGACTTTGTATGCATGGGACTGTGTAAATAACAAGTTTGCAGGTCATAAATGGCTTTTCATGGCCTAGATATGGAATTTATGGCTCAAAGAAATGGAAACACGACTGGCAAACCTATAAAGCCACGGCTCAAAAAATCCAGTCGCGGCTGGCCAAGCATAGTGACAAAGCAGAGAGTTTTTTAGAATTTCCCTGAAGTTCATTTTTGAGTCCTATAAGTAGACCAGTAAAGTATCATGGACATGGATACCAGCATTATCATACATAAGAAATTGGTTTAAATCTTGAGTTGTTGAGAAATTAAAAATGAACTGATTCCAAAAAAGCTCTGGTTTGCCACTATGTTGCCAAGTAGTAGTGGATATATTTCAAGCCTGGAATAGTAGTGATACATATGCATAATTCATTAATTGGTAGATAATAAAAAGTTCATGCACATCAAAATATGCAAGTAAAAATTGTTTCTCAGTAAACAGAAGCTTCAGGAATGGTGTGATCCAGAATGACAGCATAGCTGGTAAAGTAATGCTTATAATCTAAGTTTACCAAAAATACCAATACTGAAAATTATATGTATTTATTTGTTGATTTCTGAAAAAATGAAAAATGATATTCTAATTGGATATTTATGAGGAAATTATGCTATTAAAATATTATTTTGCCTTATTGAAATCTAATTAGTCATTAGATTTAGGTATTAGAATGATGTAATTGAATACGGAAAATGAACTTTCAAATAGGTAAGCCGTAAGTTTAATTGGGTAACAAGAAAATAAGAAAAATCAAGTTTCAGATGGTCAGACCAACTATGAACCTGCTAAAAAGCATTGAACATTGATTCCATAACCACAGAAACTGTAATTATATTTCAGGATTCAGGTCCTGTAAAAACTTTGGCTCTGCAGATCTGTGGCATTCTGTGCTACTGCTCCAGTTCCTGTCTGGCTGAGCACTTGCATCAAGCTCTCAAGTTGGTAACATTCTATTGTGATTGTGTAGTATTTTTCAACATAAGCAAATAAATACCTAGTGATAATTTTTGTCCGTAGTAAAAAGTAATATTCATTTTTTAAGGGGGAGGTATACCCTCCGGAAAAACTTTCTTGTTTACGGCCGGATCTTTCTGAAACTTCACACATATATGTAAAACCACAAAAAAAATCACATTTTGTTTGTGTGATTTTTTCGAAAAAATGCATAGAAAACGTGGAATTCATAGAAAAAGGAAAAAACAGGGGTACTACGGAAAAGCCTACTCCTCCTAGAGTTTTAAAGCTACAGCAATGAGACATATACCATTCTATTCGTAAAGACCATATAGGGTAAACGCGGTATATTCCGACACTTTAAGGACGCATCGAGAAATGAAAAACTATAAAAAAAAAACGTATGCGTTACGTA